ATGATATATGAGATTGAGGGACAGCCCTTCAAAAGACTGTTATGTCTACCATCGATAAAATATTTCTTCTACAGATTAGACAATTTAAAATAAATCAAACTATTTCAGTCCCTTCACCACTGATTATCTCCCCTGGATAAACTTGATATTTCCCCTAAAATATGGTACACAAAACAGAATACAGTTCTCTAGGTAACATGTGTTAGAGTAAAGGGCAGAGGAAGTTTTATCTTCATTGATATAAACTTTATACTTCAATTAATTCTGTCTAATCCTAGTTTTGAATTTTTTCCTTTTTTTGAAGCAGCCATATATATCTGCTTGCATTTTTTAAAGTCATACGTCTTTCCACCAAAACTTCAGTTAAGCCAGGACTTCTCATCCTTAGTCACTCTCTAGCCAATCCATCTACTCTCAAATTCTCAGCTTTGATTTTCATGCTGATAACCATCAGCAATTCCTTACTAATTCTGATTCCCTCCTTAGTACCGCATATTTGAGGCTGAGTTATAGTTTCCCTATACATATGTTCTGCCTCTCCTCCTAAACCATACGCTACTTAAGAGGAAGGAATCATATTCTAAAGTTTTATTTTCTAGTCCATTATATTAAGTGAGTTTATTAAATAGAACTTGGTTTCATAAAAGTATTATATGTTGATTCTTAGCAGTACAGTTATTTTTCTTATTTGTTGCTTAAAATGTAACTGTAAAATATTTATGTATTCAGAAGTATAATTTATTACATGATAGTATTAGAATTCTTTTCTCATTTTAGAATTTAGTAGAAAAACATGATTTAATTTATTAAAGTTAGCCTTATATACAATTCATTTTAAGAATATTTCCATCTATCTGAAGTTCTTCATTGATTAGAATAAGGTTTTCCTAAATCCACCAACTGTTATTTCAAGTACAAACTGGTCTTGCAATTTGATTTGATTCTATAATTACAGTTCTCTCAAATGGTCTTAAAACTTTTCCCATTGTTTTCCTCACAATTAGAAAAATGTATTCTCAGAAAATAATAGATATTTCCATTTTGGATACATAGTACAAGTTTCTGTTTATATCAAAGTTAAACAAAATGTATTCTATCTATTACTGCTACAAAAAAACGAATTCACTTTGCTGAAATAATTTTTAGCTCAAAGTACATACTTGTTTAGTATCAGCATCAATAAGATCAAAGAATGCTCGAATTGTAGTCAACTGCAATTGCTTACACCTAAGGAAAATGAAATAAGTGTTATAAATGAAACTGTCTGAAAACATATACTTTTTCAAGGCTATGTATAATTTTATCATTTAATATTTGAGTTTCTCTTAACCCCGTAAATTCTAAAATTATTTAACACATCATCTTATTAGGCATATATATCTTAAAGTTGAAATCTATGAAAATAAAGCAAAGTAAATCTTTCTGAATGGTCAACAGTAGAACTGTGAGAGTTTCTCTTGTCTTCCAAAACCTCCTAGGCTACCCCAGGTAAAACCATACTGACCACACCATCTTTTTATGTCCAAACTAAGTATGTAGTTGTTTACTGTTTAATGCTGTGTGCAAAGCCAGAGGAAAAGTCAGAAGAGTATCTTTAAGCAGAAACATAGAGATAGGTACTAGGATTTGCTTTTTGACCTATATTTAATCTCTTATTTCCTTATTTATATTTAGAGTAAATCTAATTCCTACTTAGCTTTCCATAGAGATTGAGTTGGCCAGGAGCTCAGAAAATCCTACCACAAGTCCATTCATTTCTGCCCAACTATGACAAACTCTAAAATGTTGATATTTAACTCTAGCTTCATTTGCAACTGATGCTACTAATTTTATAGGCTGTCAAGTAGACTTTGGCTAAATTGGCACAAGAACCAAAGCTAGAGTTTTAAGCCACTAAATTTACCTTT